ATTTCAAAAGATATTGTCAAATATGTTAAGAATTGTATGGTGTGCCGATCGAACATTAAAACAGCCCTGTGCCCCATTAGAGTCCCACAGTCCTCGAAACCCGTGGGAAATGATAAGTGTAGACGTAATGGGACCATATCCTAAATCGAAAAATCAGAATCGGTTTATGATAGTAGTAGAAGATGTGTTCTTCAGATGGTTAGAGGCTATTCCAGTTAGGGACTCTACAACGAAACGTACCATCAGACATCTTGACGAAGAAATTTTTTCACTTTTTGGGTATTCTCGTATTATAATATCGGACAACGGGCCACAATTTATGTACATCTTTGGGGTGAATTGAAATAAAGAATTGAAATGTACATTGAGAGCATTTATGATGAACAAAAACCCTCGAGACTGGGATACGTCGTTGCCCCTCGTCCTATTTGCTATTAGGTCCCGGAGGAATGCTGCTACTGATTGTTCCCCTGCTGTTGCTTTGCTGGGATATTCTCCAAACCCACCGGGAGAGTGGGCGTTTCCAAGGAACCAAACTCTGTTGATGAATCAGGTATATCGAAGACTGGAACCTTTGGCACGATAATACACTGCACTGTTTTACCACTAACCAAACCGATTTTTTAACGCCTCGACACGTGTTTCGCTTACTATGTTAGCATCTTCAGGAGAAGATTAATTAATCAGTTTTAATCTTCTCCTGAAGATGCTAACATAGTTAGCGAAACACGTGTCGAGGCGTTAAAAAATCGGTTTGGTTAGTGGTAAAACAGTGTAGTGGATGAATCAGGGTAGTCATCGAGAAAAACGACTTAAAGAGATACGTCGCCGCCAGAAGATGTATCAGGAAAAATATACGCAACGAGAGCAGCACAAAACATGGACTTTGGAGATTGGAGACAAAGCGATGGTTCGAGAAACACGACCAGTTACGGAAAAAGCTTTTCACCCTACGTGGATTGGACCTTGTGACGTTGTTGAACGTCATTCTGATAGTATATTCACTGTAATACGAGAGGAAATTCCATTAAAATACCATATTGTTGATATTCGACTAATTCCATTGGATGGAAAAGAAACAGCGGATGACGATATATTACACGAGAGCGATGACACAGATGAAGACGATGTTCCACTGGAGCATCTGAGAAGGACTCTTTGCTAGTCAAGGACGATACTTTGGACTGATAAGTTGATACGATTTACGGAGAAGTTGGTAAATATGTATAATCCTTATTTCCTTCATTTTTATTTCCGGGACTATCAGATGGATGAGCTGATTTTCTCCCGCTTTCTCATTTCCTACATTCTTATTTCCGGGACTATCAGATGGATGAGCTGATATTCTCCCGTTTTCCTATATTCTTATGTCTGGGACTATTAGACTGATGAGCTAATATTCTCCTTTTTCCTATATTTTCGATCAATTCTGAGACTATTATATGGTCGTGCTGATATTTCCTGTTAGGATACTCCTATGAAGAACTATCGGATGGATGAACTGATGTTCTTGGCGTTATCAGATTGACAAACTGATAATATTATTTAGTGTGGAACAGATGAGTTGACAATTTTATTCTTAGATATCCTTTTCCTTCATCTTTGAGATTGTAAATATTTGCCAGGTAATCATTTCCTAGATTGGTTTTATTGAGACGGGAGTATTGATAGTAGTGGACATGTAGTATCGGACCTTGTTACTAGTTTTTGAATTTACCCATTATGTGGAGTTTTATTTCATCAACGGTCGATTTGAATTTGACTAACTGATTCAGTTTATTTTTATAAAAATTGTAGTTGCATTATATATTTTATGGTACTCGAGAATTGGAATGTACATTTCTTCATTATAAATCATTATTATTTCTGTTATGTAATAATTTTTGTACTTTACAATGAAGAAAACCATAAAGCATTCGAAGGGGGAGTGTTGTAGGAATAATACTATTCGGAGTAGTATTCTGCATAAAATTACTAAAATTGGTACCTACGCCGGTTATTATTTGCGGTAGCAACCGTGTGATTTTTTCCCAGAAAGAAAAGACGACAGTCGCTAGTCAGAAGGGTTGAAACGTGGTTCGGAGAAGGTCTGAGCTGTAAATGAGAGAAGGGAGATTCAATGCTGTTCTGTTTAGTATTTTATTGAAATGTTACCCGTTACGAATGGTTATGGTTAAAAAAAATGAATGGATCGTTCATTTTCTAATAAGCTAGTTGGTGCCCAATAAGTTCACATTAAATAATCTGAGTTTGTCGTAACCACCAAAGAATTACGATAACAATTATTAACGCTATACTGAGACTACGTTACTTTCCAAACGATTGAAAGATTGCCACAGTAATAATGATCCCAATACCAAACAAAAACCACACGTTTCCAAAAAACCACCGTCCTATCAGTTTGCTCCCATCCATGAGCAAAGTGGCAGAACGCGTCATCCAAAGACGATTAACAACCATGTCAGAGGAACTAAACGTAATCCCAAATGAACAATTTGGTTTCAGGCGAAACCACTGCACAGAACTCCAAGTTCTCCGAATAGTAGATTACGCGATTACAGGATTTAATCACGGAAAAAGACATTATACTGGAGCAGTCTTCCTTGACGTTTCGAAATCATTCGACAGGGTCTGGCACGACGGACTACTAACCAAAATGGTAGACGGGTACCCGATTTCTATGGTAAAACTAATTGCCTCCTTACTGCGGGGAAGGCGATGCCAATGTAAAGTTGGCAACGAAATCTCCGCAGAGAGGGAACTAGAAGCAGGAGTACCGCAATGTGCGGTCCTTTCACCACTACTTCTCTCCATTTTTACCGCAGATATCCCTAAACCCGCGAACAACTTCAACAAACTCGCACTATACGCCGACGACACAGCCATAATTACCAGATCCAGCAACGCAGAAATGACAGTACGATACTTACAAGAACAAATTGACACACTAGAAACCTGGTTCAACAACTGGAAAATAGAAATCAACGCAGAGAAAAGCCAAGCTGTTCTCTTCACTAGACGACGTACCAAACCGACAGGACACGTAATACTAAACGACACACAGATACCATGGGCAGACGAGGCAAAATACCCAGAGGTTACCCTAGACAACAAACTTACTTTCAGACAACACATCACAACACGACTAAACTTGGGTAGAGCCGCAAAGCAAAACCTACAGCCTCTAATAGGTCGCAGAAGCAACATGGCTCTAGAGTTGAAGTTGCGCCTAATAAGAACCATTCTTCTTTCAATAATTTTGTATGCATGGGGCCAATGCGCAGTGTCATACAAAAAGCGAATACAGGCATTTCTAAATGTCTCAATAAGAATGGCAGTAAATGCCCCATGGTATATCCCAAATAGATTCATCTATAGGGACCTGAACATAAACACAGACTACAAAGACAGCTACATAAGACAACACGCGGAGACTATTTCATTTGACCATTATTTGTCTACCTATTGTCCGATTGATGTTTTGATTTCCTGTTATACTACTAGCGATAGGAGTAAAAGCGAGATATCTACAGCGAATTGCATACCTTTGATATAATAGATATATAGTCTTGTATTATTAATCATTAATATCATAACCTATATTTGTTGTTTTTAGAAATAAAAACACCCCTAGACATTCTTCTCTTTCAGACGATCGTTACGCAGGACACCCACTGCTAGCGTATCACAATTACTTTTCAGACGACCGTTACGCGGGACCCCCACCGCTAGCGTGTCACACTTACTTTTTGATACTATTTGAGCTATATTTCTTCATATTATTCAATTTGTATCATAACAAAACCTTAGACTGTTTTTAGAAATAAAAACATACTTCTAAGACATACTTTCTTTTTCAGACGATCGTTACGCAGGACCCCCACTGCTAGCGTATCATACTTTCTCTTTCAGACGATCGTTACGCGGGACCCCCACCGCTAGCGTGTCACACACACTTTTTGAAACTATTTGAGCTATATTTCTTTATATTAATCATTCTGTATCATAACAAAACCTTTAGAAATAGAAACATATTTCTATGACATACCTGCTTTTTCAGACGATCGTTAAGCGGGACCCCCACCGCTAGCGTGTCACATTTAATACATCAGTGTTCGATCTGCCTCAAAACAGTCAACACTACCTGAGTAACCTGCGATTTAGCCAACCGCTCGATAAGTGTGTTAGCCAAAATCAGTACCTCATTATCGAGCGATTACCCCAGCGATAATTACATTGTCATTATAGTGTATTAACGATTGGGCCGACCGGTCAATAACTGTGCCAGCCCAATTAAATACCGATAATTTCAATACATTTATTTTTCTTTGTATATTTACTAACATTGTATTTATTTCAGAGAAAGCAGCGTCATTGTCATTATAGTGTTTTAACGATTGGGCCGACCGGTCAATAACTGTGCCAGCCCAATCAAATACCGATAATTTCAATACATTTATTTTTCTTTGTATATTTACTAACATTGTATTTATTTCAGAGAAAGCAGCGTCATTGTCATTATAGTGTTTTAACGATTGGGCCGACCGGTCAATAACTGTGCCAGCCCAATTAAATACCGATAATTTCAATACATTTATTTTTCTTTGTATATTTACTAACATTGTATTTATTTCAGAGAAAGCAGCGACTTTGAAATCTTATAGCCTGCCGGCCTTTCAGGCGGCTATAAGGCCTCAAAACCCAGCAGTTAGATCTTGTCTACGTGTCTAGGTGTGGAAAGCAAGGTACGGCAAAGTCAGCACTCGGTAACTCACTTTGAGTTACTAGAGACTGTCTATAACCGTAGTGCCCGTACACAAGGGCTTCCACATCAAGACTCGGCCTGATCCGAGCCTAGCAGAAAAAATCAGTAAGGAAACAACCCCTATCCCTCAATAGAATCCGCAAACAATAAAAATATTCTCCCAAGGGGACAGCCATGCAAGGCAAACCCTAGGGAGGAAGAACAAATACAAAATCGAACACACTAATAAATAAATATGTCTCCCATTCTGCCAGGCAGCGACATGTTTGTCGACAAAAACAACCCCAGCAGCAAGGCGAAAAAGAAGACCACAGTAAAAGTTGGCAGAAACTCGGGCAAAACTAAGGCGGCCAAAGAGACGAATCTCAATTCCCTCATTCAATCGCTGAGAAGCCAGAATGACCAGCAACAAAAACTGATTGAAAATCTAACCAAAACAATTGAACAACTGCGTAAAGACCTTGAAATCTCAGCAGACATGCACTTTTTAGCTAAGCAAGCTAAAATCAAAGCCCAAGAGTGCACGAAAGCCGGAGAAGAAGGAGCGGCGGAAACCTTTAATGCTCTAGCAAGCATGATCAAGGAACAGACTGCCAAGGCAGTCCCAACAAACAAGGAAACCACCCTTCCTCCCCAAACCCCCCCGAAAACCGTACTTTCCATACCGGAAAATATGGAAATCGAAGAGGAAAAACAGAAGGGAATAAAGAGGAAAGCCTCATCAAGCCCTTCCCCAAAAGCTTCGACCTCAACCGCAGCCCCCACCCCCCAAAAAGGCAACGACGAGCCAGCCAAAAAAACCACTATTCCCCCGATTGTACTGAAAACACCGGGAGAATGGACCACGGTTAAGAGAAAGTTGGAATCCAATGGAATTAAAATTCCATTAGTAAAAATTATGAGAGGAGGTTTGAGAATTCGAACCAATAATGCCAATGAATACAGAACCACCACCAAAATCCTAGAACAAGACAAACACGAATACCACACATATTCGCTCCCTGAAGATAAACTACTGAGTGTAGTGATGAGGGGAATCGACATGAGTGTGGAGATTCCAGATATAGAAGACGATTTGAAGAGCAAGGGGCTTGAAATCAAAACCGTCCATAGGATGAAATCCTATAAGACCAAGCTGGATTTACCGCTTGTGATAATTCAAGTCCCCAAATCAGAAACCAGAATTTGGGAAATCAAGGATTGCTGCAGCTACGTAGTAAGAATTGAGGCCCAAAGACAGGTTAAAAATCAGATTCCACAATGTCATAGGTGCCAGAAGTACGGCCACAGTCAAAGGAACTGCAGATGTCTCTATAGATGCGTCAAGTGCGGAGATCAGCATCCCACAGCCGATTGTACGAAGCCCCGCACTACTGACGCTAAGTGCGCCAACTGCAGTGGCAAACACCCTGCCAATTACCGAGGATGCCCGAAGTGCCCAAAACCAGTAACAAAAGCAACCCCTCCAAAACCCAACCAAAAACCCACTCCGAAAACCCTCCCTGGAAGTGGAAATACCCAGCCAGGAAAATCCTACGCAGCAGCGACTGCTCCCAAACCCCAACCCCAAAAGGCTCACAGAGCCCCTCAACAAACCCCAACCCCAACCCTACCCCCGGACTTCATGGATCTCATCCAGAAGGCCATAGAAACCGCAGTGCAACAAACAGTTGCACTACTCAGTAAGCCATCACCGGTCAGAAATGGCGCATAAGAAGGACTGCTTTTCCATTGGCTCTTGGAACATAAACGGGGCCAAGGCAAGAAAAGCGGAACTGGAAGAATTCCTATCCAGGAATTCGGTGGACATAATGGCGCTCCAGGAAACGCGATTCACTCCAGGTAAGACATTCAATATGACTAATTATTTTGTTTACAGGAACGACCGGATCGGCAGAAGAGGCGGAGGCACCTTACTGCTGATCAAAAAGGACCTTGATCATTATCCGATCAACACCCCAGCACTGGTATCCCTGGAAGCAACCATGGCGACTGTGAAAACACGAAACCACGGCGACATCCAGATAGTATCAGCCTACCAATCCGATACCCAAATAGATATCCAACACTATACACAAGATATACACACGGTTATATCTGGTCGAAATCCAACAATAGCAGTCGGTGACTGGAATGCCAGACACCAGAATTGGAATTGCGCTACCTCAAACATGAAAGGAAGACTACTTGTAGAATACCTTGAAGAAAGCGAGGACACCACTGTGCTAGCCCCAACAGAGCACACCAGATATGACCACAACAACACTCCGAGCACAATTGATATAGCCCTCCTGCGAGGACTTGAAATGCCAGTTGAAATTGCCACCCACCATGACGGATCATCTGACCACGACCCAATCCTGCTGCATGTAGGAGAAGGAAATGAGCCGGACCAACCCATCAAGAGGAACAAAATCAACTGGACCATGTTCCAGAGAATATTCCATGACCGAATGGGCCCAATGCCCATAATAGTCACAGAAAATGACCTGGAAGAGGCAACAAGGACCTTTGAGCAGGACATCAAAAATGCTATGGAAGCCAGTACAACAACCACACACACCACCAGATGGAATCTACAGCATGATCTACCACCAGAACTACGCGAGTTGCTGAGGGAAAAACGGAGAGCCAGGAAACTGTCCATCAGAACCAGGCAACCCGAACATAACCAATTAGCAAGGCACCTAGCCCGAGAAGTAAGGAGAGAATTGCAAAACTACAAAAACGAACGTTGGGCCGAAAAGCTAATGTCGTTAAGTCCGGAAGAAGGGAACTTTTGGAGCATGCAGAAGCTACTCAGGAACCGTCCCACCCCCATACCACCCCTCCAAGGACAGACGGTATCGCCTACACAAACGAGGACAAGGCATCGGCATTTGCCGACACCTTAGAGCGCCAGTTTGTAGAAAACGTTACCCCAAATGACGATCTGCAGCACAAAGCCCGATGTAGACGAGCAGTGAGGCGACTCAGAGAACACGATGCCCCCGTTGATAACCTGCGACCGGCCACGCCGGAGGAAATCAAAAGGATCAATAGGCATCTGAAGAGCAAAAAGGCACCAGGGAAAGACAACATCCCCAACATAGCCCTAAAGCAACTCCCCTGAAAAGGAATAGCAGCCCTCACTAATATAGCGAAAGCCGTTTTGAGACTGAAACACTTCCCAACCACCTGGAAAGAATCTTCAGTGATACTGCTACGGAACTACAGGCCAATCAGCCTACTACCAGCACCCAGTAAAGTGATAGAACGAATCATACAAAGCAGGCTAGAGGAATCCATCACCGATCTTGGCATTTTACCAAATGAACAGTTTGGTTTTCGAAGCCAACATTCAACGGAACTCCAGGTAACCAGACTTGTCGACTACGCAGCCGTAGGCCTAAATAGAAGACTAGCCACCGGAGTCATATTCCTCGACGTAGCCAAAGCTTTTGACCGTGTCTGGCACGATGGACTAGTAGCGAAAATGATGATCCTGGATTATCCAATCCCACTTGTGTATTTACTAGTGATCTAGCACTACTATTGTCTGTGCAATCTGACCTTTGAGGGGGCTGAAATCCATAGTTCAAAGTTATTTATTGAGAGCTCAAGTGAGACAGAGTGGCATCATGCTATTTATGGGGTACCTAGGTCTCGGTTCAGGGTTATAATGTATTGTTTTAGATAGTCATACAGTTGCAAGTGTGTTTGATCATTGCAAAGGGCCCCGGGAGTCTTCTGGAGGCACCTCAAGGTTCTAGCACGTTCGCGACAGAGCCGATTTCTTATGCACGAGTGTACGGCCGTAATTTCAAATGATAAATGTTGCTTTATAATAGATTGACAAAATACATTCGTCATTATATCCTGTATCCTGGTCGTGAACTCAGTCTTGATGAGTCAATGATTTCGTGGCGTGGAAGATTAGTTTTTCGTCGACATGTAAAGAATAAGAAACACGAATACGGTGTGGAATTGTATATGGTTAGTACACCTAAAGGAATTGTTATGAAATTTGCGGTTTATACTAGCATTCTAGATGACATGGAAGGAAAAGGGCATGCCTCAAATGAGGTACTACATCTGATGAGAGAGTTGACACAGAATGGTCACTCTTTGTACATGGATAATATCTATAATTGTTACGAACTTACAAAACAGCTATTGGAATGTACTAAGGTAGTGAAAAATGCGAAACTCAAGAAGGGAGAAAGTGTAGCGAAATATTGTAACGGTGTTATAATCGGAAAATGGAAAAACAAACGTGATGTGCATTACATTTCTACAGAGTTTCCTAATATAACTGAGATTCGTAATAGACGAGGAGAGATGAAAGAAAAACCAGAACCTATAATGAATTACAACAAATTCATGTCCAGCGTTGATCGTCAATATCAAATGCTCTCTTATTATCCATACAAACGAAAAACTATAAGATGGCCACCTAAGCTTTTCATTCACATATTGAAAATGTGCCTCCTGAATTCTTTTCATCTCTATAATTCATATTCTGGCCAGGACAAGATGTGCCTCTAAGCATCATAAGAGGGTTTCTAGGGTCACCAGGTGTTTCCAAAAGATGAAGAAGAAACGGACTTATCTTGGAGAAATGTGAGAAATCACAGAAGGAAGTGCGAAAGCTGCAGTGAAAATGGAAAAAGAAAGGAGATTACTTACGTTAACGCGTCATCAAGAAGAGTTTCTTTTGTTTTCCTTCAATCATTATTGACATTCCGAATTGAAAATGAATATTTAATACAAAACAAAAATTTGGCTCCCAGTGACATACATCGGTGGCTGCGAACGTGTTGAAAGAGAGATTTGAAAATGGAAAAATAATCACATTGAGACGTATTGAAACTTTGTTCAACTTTCAAAACAAAACCAGGGAATCACATAGTTCGCTCAGAAAAATGTTGGAGGGAACTAGAAAAAGTATCAGGGCTCTCAAATCGTTGGGACAACCAGTAGATTCATGGAACATACTACTCTTCTTCATATTAGACAAAAACTGGGTTCTTCATCAAAAAGAAAATGGTAAGCACGAACAAACACGAGTACTTTTCCGAAAATAGATGATTTTTTGAAAGGACCCCGCACTTTTTCTATATAAAAATGGCGTTCCGTCGAATTTCCCCAATTTTTGGTAAATGATAGTACTCGACATACTGATTGAATATGCCAAGTCCCAACTCAATCCTATGACTAGTTTACGAGATACAGGGTGTTGAAGTTGAAGAATACCTAATTTTTCTCGGCCTATATCTCTAAGATAGGACAAATGAATTCCAATTTTTCGGGAGCACGTAATAGTTATGCCCTTAGGCGCAAGAACTATATAGGTATTCGACCAAAACTGATTTTTATTACAGGGTGATTCTCATTTCAAATAATGTGTTTTTTTGAATATCTGAATATCAATGCTACAAATTGATAACAATTACAAAATGAGATTTATAGCCAAGTATGCTCTTCTTACATCAATTGAATTCGTAAAATATAATAATTATACATGGTGTTTCATTAATGCTGTTGATTGCATAATTGGTCTATCCTAAAGTTCATTGGGCCACCTCGTATTATCGGGTTGATTCCAGACATTCAAAATATTTTTGAAGGATGTATCCCAATGAGTTCCATGATATACAGAGTGATTCATCGATTGAAAAAATTGACAACCACGAAAAAATATTCAAAAACCACTATTTTTTTCATCACCCTCTAATTCGAAATTATTACCGTCGATGTAAGATTTTTTTCCACCAATATACTCAGTATGGATATTTCAATCAAATTGGGAATTTTCAGACCCATGCTATGACTAGTTTTTTTTATACATCGAATAATGTGAAAATAATTATGGAAAA